GTCCAGAATTGAACGCAAATCGATTGAGAATTAAGCTACGAGCTCAACAAGGAATGACATTCCATATTTGGGCTATTATTCCCTTTGCTTCGGCAAAAAAACGGATGTTCTAGGGTGGAAAATGAGGACTCAAATTTTAGGCAAAAAATACACTTTTTCAGTCGTAATTTTGACAAATCAAGGCCGAAAGCTTAGCGCCCGACTGTTTTGACTAGCTAACAAACCTAAACTAACGATCCCCATCACTTTTTGGAAAATTAGATTTTTCACTAATTATCGCATTTTTTATAAGGGGTTACATCATGATTTCTTGCAAAAAATTCCCAAAAATTAAAATGTCCAGAATTGAACGCAAATCGATTGAGAATTAAGCTACGAGCTCAACAAGGTATAACATTCCATATTTGGGCTATTATTCCCTTTGCTTCGGAAAAAAAACGGATGTTTTAGGGTGGAAAATAAGGACTCAAATTTTAGGCAAAAAATACACTTTTTCAGTAGTAATTTTTACAAATCAAGGCCGACAGCTTAGCGACCGACTGTTTTGACTAGCTAACAAACCTAAACTAACGATCCCCATCACTTTTTGGAAAATTAGATTTTTCACTAATTATCGCATTTTTTATAAGGGGTTACATCATGATTTCTTGCAAAAAATTACCAAAAATTAAAATGTCCAGAATTGAACGCAAATCGATTGAGAATTAAGCTACGAGCTCAACAAGGTATAACATTCCTTATTTGGGCTATTATTCCCTTTGCTTCGGCAAAAAAACGGATATTTTGAGGGTTGAAAAATGAGGACTCAAATTTTAGGCAAAAAATACACTTTTTCAGTCATTAGCTTGCCGACTGTTTTGCTGTAACAAACCTAAACTAACGATCCCATCACTTTTTGGAAAATTAGATTTTCTAATTATCGCATTTTTTTCAGGCGTTACTCAGTTTCTTGCAACAAATTACCAAAAATTAAAATGCCAATTGAACGCAAATCGATTAAGATCTAAGCTACGAGTTTAACAAGGAATGACATTCCATATTTGGGCTATTATTTCCTTTGCTTCGGCAAAAAAAACGGATGTTTTAGGGTAGTAAATAAGGACTCAAATTTTAGGCAAAAATACACTTTTTCAGTAGTAATTTTTACAAATCAAGGCCGACAGCTTAGCGACCGACTGTTTTGACTAGCTAACAAACCTAAACTAACGATCCCCATCACTTTTTGAAAAATTAGATTTTTCACTAATTATCGCATTTTTTATAAGGGGTTACATCATGATTTCTTGCAAAAAATTACCAAAAATTAAAATGTCCAGAATTGAACGCAAATCGATTGAGAATTAAGCTACGAGCTCAACAAGGTATAACATTCCTTATTTGGGCTATTATTCCCTTTGCTTCGGACATGTTTTGTAAATAAAAACGGATATTTTGAGGTTGAAAAATAAAGATTCGACTGTTTTAGCTAACAAAACTAAAAACATCCATCACTTTTTGGAAAATTAGTTTTTCACTAATTATCGCATTTTTATAAGGGGTTACATCATGATTTCTTGCAAAAATTACCAAAAATTAAAATGTCCAGAATTGAACGCAAATCGATTAAGAATTAAGCTACGAGCTCAACAAGGAATGACATTCCATATTTGGGCTATTATTTCCTTTGCTTCGGCAAAAAAACGGATGTTTTAGAGTGAAAAATGAGGACTCAAATTTTAGGCAAAAAATACACTTTTTCAGTAGTAATTTTTACAAATCAAGGCCGACAGCTTAGCGACCGACTGTTTTGACTAGCTAACAAACCTAAACTAACGATCCCCATCACTTTTTGAAAAATTAGATTTTTCACTAATTATCGCATTTTTTATAAGGGGTTACATCATGATTTCTTGCAAAAAATTACCAAAAATTAAAATGTCCAGAATTGAACGCAAATCGATTGAGAATTAAGCTACGAGCTCAACAAGGTATAACATTCCTTATTTGGGCTTTTATTCCCTTTGCTTCGGCAAAAAAACGGATGTTTTAGAGTGAAAAATGAGGACTCAAATTTTAGGCAAAAAATACACTTTTTCAGTAGTAATTTTTACAAATCAAGGCCGACAGCTTAGCGACCGACTGTTTTGACTAGCTAACAAACCTAAACTAACGATCCCCATCACTTTTTGAAAAATTAGATTTTTCACTAATTATCGCATTTTTTATAAGGGGTTACATCATGATTTCTTGCAAAAAATTCCCAAAAATTAAAATGTCCAGAATTGAACGCAAATCGATTGAGAATTAAGCTACGAGCTCAACAAGGTATAACATTCCTTATTTGGGCTATTATTCCCTTTGCTTCGGCAAAAAAACGGATATTTTGAGGTTAAAAAATAAAGATTCGAGTTTTAGTCAAAAAATACACTTTTTCATCAGTTTTTCAGTCGCAGTTTGAACAAATCACAGCTAAGGCTTGAACGCAGATCGATTAAGATCTAAGCTACGAGTTTAACAAGGAATGACATTCCATATTTGGGCTATTATTTCCTTTGCTTCGGCAAAAAAACGGATGTTTTAGGGTGGAAAATAAGGACTAAAATTTTAGGCAAAAAATACACTTTTTCTGTCGTAATTTTGACAAATCAAGGCCGACAGCTTAGCGCCCGACTGTTTTGACTAGCTAACAAACGCAAACTAACGATCCCCATCACTTTTTGGAAAATTAGATCTTTCACTAATTATCGCATTTTTTATAAGGGGTTACATCATGATTTCTTGCAAAAAATTCCCAAAAATTAAAATGTCCAGAATTGAACGCAAATCGATTGAGAATTAAGCTACGAGATCAACAAGGTATAACATTCCATATTTGGGCCAAAAAACGGATGTTTTAGGGTGGAAAATAAGGACTCAAATTTTAGGCAAAAAATACACTTTTTCAGTAGTAATTTTTACAAATCAAGGCCGACAGCTTAGCGACCGACTGTTTTGACCAGCTAACAAACCTAAACTAACGATCCCCATCCCTTTTTGGAAAATTAGATTTTTCACTAATTATCGCATTTTTTATAAGGGGTTACATCATGATTTCTTGCAAAAAATTACCAAAAATTAAAATGTCCAGAATTGAACGCAAATCGATTGAGAATTAAGCTACGAGCTCAACAAGGTATAACATTCCATATTTGGGCTATTATTCCCTTTGCTTCGGCAAAAAAACGGATGTTTTAGGGTGGAAAATGAGGACTCAAATTTTAGGCAAAAAATACACTTTTTCCGTAGTAATTTTTACAAATCAAGGCCGACAGCTTAGCGACCGACTGTTTTGACTAGCTAACAAACCTAAACTAACGATCCCCATCACTTTTTGAAAAATTAGATTTTTCACTAATTATCGCATTTTTTATAAGGGGTTACATCATGATTTCTTGCAAAAAATTCCCAAAAATTAAAATGTCCAGAATTGAACGCAAATCGATTGAGAATTAAGCTACGAGATCAACAAGGTATAACATACCATATTTGGGCAAAAAAACGGATGTTTTAGTGTGGAAAATAAGGACTCAAATTTTAGGCAAAAAATACACTTTTTCCGTAGTAATTTTTACAAATCAAGGCCGACAGCTTAGCGACCGACTGTTTTGACTAGCTAACAAACCTAAACTAACGATCCCCATCACTTTTTGGAAAATTAGATTTTTCACTAATTATCGCATTTTTTATAAGGGGTTACATCATGATTTCTTGCAAAAACTTTCTTATTTAGATAAAGGTTAGTTTTTTTGAAATTCGTATGAAATTCGTGCATTACGCCAAAGCAGTTGTTTGTTTGGTTATATGGCTAGCCATTTCTCGTTAAGTTGTTGACCGATTTTAAAAAACGATACCTCGTTTTGTTGGTTGTTTTATGCACTTTAAAACAACAAATTAAAGCGCCCTGAAAGTGGGACTCGAAAAGGACTTTTGGTACCAAGAGGACAACGAACCTAAACATTGCGCCCACAAAACAAAGCGTTTATGTGTAAAACAGCTACATTCTCTATTACAATAGTATATCTCAATCCCGAAAAGCATTTTTGTGATGTCCTGGAGGGCAGGACTCACCTTCACAACCTTGCATCCAAGGATATGCTGAAAAAACTCAATGTCGAGGAATGGAATCAAATAACGGCGAAGGATGCAAGGACATTGGTCCAATCGATGCCGAATATGTAGACTGATGTTATAAAACATAAAGGGTATCAAACTCCGTACTAAACTTGACGTACTTTGCCCAAAATATGGCTTTTTCTAATACTATATGCATTTGTACGCATACTTTTTCTGATGCGAAATGCGGCCAATTTTTACATTTTTGTTTATATTAGGAAAAGAAAAAGTGCTAGAAATTAATAAGTTACGTCAAATTAAAGCTTAATATGTGTACTAAATGTTAAAATTAAAACGACATTTTTACGAATTTTTTTAAGACGTTTTTTTAAGCTCTAAAGTTGCGGAAAATATTTGTACGCATACTTTTTCTGGCAAGTGTACCTAGAAAATATTCACACACATTCGCAAGTAAATAACGGCCTTATTTACTTATTTCCGCATCACGCTCTAAGAGCACACAAATATAAGGGCAAATAAAGCGCAGAAATAAGTAAATAAGGTCATTAAGTACTTTCGAAGAATCGCAGGGAAAACAGAATGAAAGAAAAAGAAACAACCGTGATCAAAAGTATTTCACCATTAAAATTTCCTAGAAAATATTCACACACATTCGCAAGTACATAACGGCCTTATTTACTTATTTCCGCATCACGCTCTGAGAGCACACAAATATAACGGCAAATAAAGCGCGTAAATAAGTATATAAGGTCTTATGTACTTGCAAATGTGTGTGGATATTTTCCAGGAAATTTTAATGATGAAATACTTATAAACATGGTCGTTTTTTTTATTTGAAATATTTTTTTCGTAAAAATTTTCCCGAAAACTTTTTGAATTTTAACAACTTTTCTACATATTTATAAATGAAATACATATTCTAAGAATGTGAAGAAGACTTACCCAATTTTTAAAAGGCTTACATCATTTTTTTGCATATGAACATTAGGGCGGTCCAAATTTGTACGTCGCGGTTGGCCAATCGGAACAATTATAATAAATTATACGCTGTTGCAAAACAAGAAATGTATCAATAAGACATCATTTAATAATTCAAAATAAAAAATATTAAAAAAATATTAATTTGTAATGTTGTTTTTCATTTACGACTTTCTATGTTTTCGCAGAAGAAATCACAGAACTTGCTATAAAAAATTTAATATAAAAACTAGGCGCTGACTTAAAAAAACCGATTGAAGGTAATAATTAAAATTAAAATAAATATTCCAAAAAACAAATTTTGTTTGTAAATGTAATTTAAATAAATATTACAAAATCAAACAAACATTTTTTTTTGGGGTAGAGCCTAAAAAATATTGTATTATAAAATAAGATTTAAAAAAAAAACAAATAAAAAAGAAGCTGTCGATAACAATAAATCAGACGGAGATATAACTTTTTAGAGGGATTTCTTTTAAATCGCTTGAAATCAGATACACGTAATTACGTAGTTACTAAATATTATATGTTAAAAAAATTATAGGAATATCATGAATGTTACGGAAAAATATTGAACACCTTTCGGTTTGTAAAAGAGCTTTTAATGCAGTCGTAAGGGTCTGTCTTTTATTTTAGTCTAGCTATTTATTGCCGCCCACTGTACGATTTCCAATAAAATCCTGCAAAAACTACTCACTGCTGTATAAAAATACTTGTATGCATATGTATATTTAAATGTGTTTATACATGTGTGCAAATTACGACTGAAAAACTGATAAAAAAGTGTATCTTCTGGCTAATATTTAAATCCTTATTTTCTACCCTTAAATATCTGTTTTTTACGAAACAAAGGAAACAATAGGTTAAATATGAAATGTCATACCTTGTTAAGCTCGAAACTTAATTATAAATAGATTTTCGTTCAAATCTGGACATTTTAATTTTTGGCCATAAGTAAATAAGGTCCTTATGTACTTGCGATGAATCGCAGGGAAAACAGAATGAAAGAAAAAGAAACTACCGCGATCAAAAGTATTTCACCACTAAAATTTTCTACAAAATATTCACACACATTCGCAAGTACATAACGGCCTTATTTACTTATTTCCGCATCACGCTCTGAGAGCACACGAATATAACGGCAAATAAAGGGCGGAAATAAGTAAATAAGGTCATTATGTACATGCGAATGTGTGTGGATATTTTCTAGGAAATTTTAATGATGAAATACTTATGAACATGGTCGTTTTTTTATTTGAAATATTTTTTCGTGAAAAAACTAACCCGAAAACGTTTTGAATTTTAACTGCTTTTCTACATATCTATAAATAAAATACATATTCTAACAATGTGAAGAAGACTTACCCAATTATTAAAAGGCTTACATCATTTTTTGCATATGTAGATACATATACACATACAAATAGCCGGCGCGACGCGATAGACCGGAACGGCGCCAGAACTGCATATTTTCCAGCATATACATATTTGTATGTGCATCTTTAATTTCATGGGAAACGGAAAAAGACCACAAAACGCGCAACGAAAAATGTTAGAAAAGCAAAAAAACACTTGAGTTGACCTCAAATTAACTTATTTCACAATTTATTATACTGTTTTAACCGATTTCCTACCCGCTAAGAAAAATGAACCGGTCGCGCACTTGGCAGAAGAACAACTGAGATCGCTAATTCTGTCAACTTCCGAGGACAAAGCGGAATGACAAAAAAGCGCAGTTAACTTCTTAATGCGCAGCAACTTCTGATCGAGTGCATGGAGAGCGGCAATATGCATGTGTACACGCGCCCAAAAACCCCCTCTCTCACACTGCTCGCGAGCAATTCTCCATCTCTCTCTACGTCTCCTCTAAACTCGTACAGTGGGACGCGTCGAACAAGTTTTAAAAACAAAAATATTAAAAAAAAAAAATGTATTATTAAACACTACTTTTTAAAAAAAAAGTCACTGGCTGTTAGAATTTACAATCTAAAATAAATGTTGTTATCGCTTTTATGTGTTTTATTTTTTTTCAACTATTTATTGCCGCCTACTGTGCGATTTCCAATAAAATCCAGAAAATACTTCTGACTGCTATATATACATACTTGTACACATGTATTTAAATGTGTTTATACATGTGTGCAAATTACGACTGAAAAACTGATGAAAAAGTGTATCTTCTGGCTAATATTTAAATCCTTAGTTTCTACCCTAAAATATCTGTTTTTTACGAAACAAAGGAAACAATAGGTTAAATATGAAATGTCATACCTTGTTAAGCTCGAAACTTAATTATAAATAGATTTTCGTTCAAATCAGGACATTTTAATTTTTGGCCATAAGTAAATAAGGTCATTATGAACTGTTTTGACTAGCTAACAAACCTAAACTAACGATCCCCATCACTTTTTGGAAAATTAGATTTTTCACTAATTATCGCAATTTTTATAAGGGGTTACATCATGATTTCTTGCAAAAAATTACCAAAAATTAAAATGTCCAGAATTGAACGCAAATCGATTGAGAATTAAGCTACGAGCTCAACAAGGTATAACATTCCTTATTTGGGCTTTTATTCCCTTTGCTTCGGCAAAAAAACGGATGTTTTAGAGTGAAAAATGAGGACTCAAATTTTAGGCAAAAAATACACTTTTTCAGTAGTAATTTTTACAAATCAAGGCCGACAGCTTAGCGACCGACTGTTTTGACTAGCTAACAAACCTAAACTAACGATCCCCATCACTTTTTGAAAAATTAGATTTTTCCCTAATTATCGCATTTTTTATAAGGGGTTACATCATGATTTCTTGCAAAAAATTCCCAAAAATTAAAATGTCCAGAGTTGAACGCAAATCGATTGAGAATTAAGCTACGAGCTCAACAAGGTATAACATTCCTTATTTGGGCTATTATTCCCTTTGCTTCGGCAAAAAAACGGATATTTTGAGGTTAAAAAATAAAGATTCGAGTTTTAGTCAAAAAATACACTTTTTCATCAGTTTTTCAGTCGCAGTTTGAACAAATCACAGCTAAGGCTTGAACGCAGATCGATTAAGATCTAAGCTACGAGTTTAACAAGGAATGACATTCCATATTTGGGCTATTATTTCCTTTGCTTCGGCAAAAAAACGGATGTTTTAGGGTGGAAAATAAGGACTAAAATTTTAGGCAAAAAATACACTTTTTCTGTCGTAATTTTGACAAATCAAGGCCGACAGCTTAGCGCCCGACTGTTTTGACTAGCTAACAAACGCAAACTAACGATCCCCATCACTTTTTGGAAAATTAGATCTTTCACTAATTATCGCATTTTTTATAAGGGGTTACATCATGATTTCTTGCAAAAAATTCCCAAAAATTAAAATGTCCAGAATTGAACGCAAATCGATTGAGAATTAAGCTACGAGATCAACAAGGTATAACATTCCATATTTGGGCCAAAAAACGGATGTTTTAGGGTGGAAAATAAGGACTCAAATTTTAGGCAAAAAATACACTTTTTCAGTAGTAATTTTTACAAATCAAGGCCGACAGCTTAGCGACCGACTGTTTTGACCAGCTAACAAACCTAAACTAACGATCCCCATCCCTTTTTGGAAAATTAGATTTTTCACTAATTATCGCATTTTTTATAAGGGGTTACATCATGATTTCTTGCAAAAAATTACCAAAAATTAAAATGTCCAGAATTGAACGCAAATCGATTGAGAATTAAGCTACGAGCTCAACAAGGTATAACATTCCATATTTGGGCTATTATTCCCTTTGCTTCGGCAAAAAAACGGATGTTTTAGGGTGGAAAATGAGGACTCAAATTTTAGGCAAAAAATACACTTTTTCCGTAGTAATTTTTACAAATCAAGGCCGACAGCTTAGCGACCGACTGTTTTGACTAGCTAACAAACCTAAACTAACGATCCCCATCACTTTTTGAAAAATTAGATTTTTCACTAATTATCGCATTTTTTATAAGGGGTTACATCATGATTTCTTGCAAAAAATTACCAAAAATTAAAATGTCCAGAATTGAACGCAAATCGATTGAGAATTAAGCTACGAGATCAACAAGGTATAACATACCATATTTGGGCAAAAAAACGGATGTTTTAGTGTGGAAAATAAGGACTCAAATTTTAGGCAAAAAATACACTTTTTCCGTAGTAATTTTTACAAATCAAGGCCGACAGCTTAGCGACCGACTGTTTTGACTAGCTAACAAACCTAAACTAACGATCCCCATCACTTTTTGGAAAATTAGATTTTTCACTAATTATCGCATTTTTTATAAGGGGTTACATCATGATTTCTTGCAAAAACTTTCTTATTTAGATAAAGGTTAGTTTTTTTTGAAATTCGTATGAAATTCGTGCATTACGCCAAAGCAGTTGTTTGTTTGGTTATATGGCTAGCCATTTCTCGTTAAGTTGTTGACCGATTTTAAAAAACGATACCTCGTTTTGTTGGTTGTTTTATGCACTTTAAAACAACAAATTAAAGCGCCCTGAAAGTGGGACTCGAAAAGGACTTTTGGTACCAAGAGGACAACGAACCTAAACATTGCGCCCACAAAACAAAGCGTTTATGTGTAAAACAGCTACATTCTCTATTACAATAGTATATCTCAATCCCGAAAAGCATTTTTGTGATGTCCTGGAGGGCAGGACTCACCTTCACAACCTTGCATCCAAGGATATGCTGAAAAAACTCAATGTCGAGGAATGGAATCAAATAACGGCGAAGGATGCAAGGACATTGGTCCAATCGATGCCGAATATGTAGACTGATGTTATAAAACATAAAGGGTATCAAACTCCGTACTAAACTTGACGTACTTTGCCCAAAATATGGCTTTTTCTAATACTATATGCATTTGTACGCATACTTTTTCTGATGCGAAATGCGGCCAATTTTTACATTTTTGTTTATATTAGGAAAAGAAAAAGTGCTAGAAATTAATAAGTTACGTCAAATTAAAGCTTAATATGTGTACTAAATGTTAAAATTAAAACGACATTTTTACGAATTTTTTTAAGACGTTTTTTTAAGCTCTAAAGTTGCGGAAAATATTTGTACGCATACTTTTTCTGGCAAGTGTACCTAGAAAATATTCACACACATTCGCAAGTAAATAACGGCCTTATTTACTTATTTCCGCATCACGCTCTAAGAGCACACAAATATAAGGGCAAATAAAGCGCAGAAATAAGTAAATAAGGTCATTAAGTACTTTCGAAGAATCGCAGGGAAAACAGAATGAAAGAAAAAGAAACAACCGTGATCAAAAGTATTTCACCATTAAAATTTCCTAGAAAATATTCACACACATTCGCAAGTACATAACGGCCTTATTTACTTATTTCCGCATCACGCTCTGAGAGCACACAAATATAACGGCAAATAAAGCGCGTAAATAAGTATATAAGGTCTTATGTACTTGCAAATGTGTGTGGATATTTTCCAGGAAATTTTAATGATGAAATACTTATAAACATGGTCGTTTTTTTTATTTGAAATATTTTTTTCGTAAAAATTTTCCCGAAAACTTTTTGAATTTTAACAACTTTTCTACATATTTATAAATGAAATACATATTCTAAGAATGTGAAGAAGACTTACCCAATTTTTAAAAGGCTTACATCATTTTTTTGCATATGAACATTAGGGCGGTCCAAATTTGTACGTCGCGGTTGGCCAATCGGAACAATTATAATAAATTATACGCTGTTGCAAAACAAGAAATGTATCAATAAGACATCATTTAATAATTCAAAATAAAAAATATTAAAAAAATATTAATTTGTAATGTTGTTTTTCATTTACGACTTTCTATGTTTTCGCAGAAGAAATCACAGAACTTGCTATAAAAAATTTAATATAAAAACTAGGCGCTGACTTAAAAAAACCGATTGAAGGTAATAATTAAAATTAAAATAAATATTCCAAAAAACAAATTTTGTTTGTAAATGTAATTTAAATAAATATTACAAAATCAAACAAACATTTTTTTTTTGGGGTAGAGCCTAAAAAATATTGTATTATAAAATAAGATTTAAAAAAAAAAACAAATAAAAAAGAAGCTGTCGATAACAATAAATCAGACGGAGATATAACTTTTTAGAGGGATTTCTTTTAAATCGCTTGAAATCAGATACACGTAATTACGTAGTTACTAAATATTATATGTTAAAAAAATTATAGGAATATCATGAATGTTACGGAAAAATATTGAACACCTTTCGGTTTGTAAAAGAGCTTTTAATGCAGTCGTAAGGGTCTGTCTTTTATTTTAGTCTAGCTATTTATTGCCGCCCACTGTACGATTTCCAATAAAATCCTGCAAAAACTACTCACTGCTGTATAAAAATACTTGTATGCATATGTATATTTAAATGTGTTTATACATGTGTGCAAATTACGACTGAAAAACTGATAAAAAAGTGTATCTTCTGGCTAATATTTAAATCCTTATTTTCTACCCTTAAATATCTGTTTTTTACGAAACAAAGGAAACAATAGGTTAAATATGAAATGTCATACCTTGTTAAGCTCGAAACTTAATTATAAATAGATTTTCGTTCAAATCTGGACATTTTAATTTTTGGCCATAAGTAAATAAGGTCCTTATGTACTTGCGATGAATCGCAGGGAAAACAGAATGAAAGAAAAAGAAACTACCGCGATCAAAAGTATTTCACCACTAAAATTTTCTACAAAATATTCACACACATTCGCAAGTACATAACGGCCTTATTTACTTATTTCCGCATCACGCTCTGAGAGCACACGAATATAACGGCAAATAAAGGGCGGAAATAAGTAAATAAGGTCATTATGTACATGCGAATGTGTGTGGATATTTTCTAGGAAATTTTAATGATGAAATACTTATGAACATGGTCGTTTTTTTATTTGAAATATTTTTTCGTGAAAAAACTAACCCGAAAACGTTTTGAATTTTAACTGCTTTTCTACATATCTATAAATAAAATACATATTCTAACAATGTGAAGAAGACTTACCCAATTATTAAAAGGCTTACATCATTTTTTGCATATGTAGATACATATACACATACAAATAGCCGGCGCGACGCGATAGACCGGAACGGCGCCAGAACTGCATATTTTCCAGCATATACATATTTGTATGTGCATCTTTAATTTCATGGGAAACGGAAAAAGACCACAAAACGCGCAACGAAAAATGTTAGAAAAGCAAAAAAACACTTGAGTTGACCTCAAATTAACTTATTTCACAATTTATTATACTGTTTTAACCGATTTCCTACCCGCTAAGAAAAATGAACCGGTCGCGCACTTGGCAGAAGAACAACTGAGATCGCTAATTCTGTCAACTTCCGAGGACAAAGCGGAATGACAAAAAAGCGCAGTTAACTTCTTAATGCGCAGCAACTTCTGATCGAGTGCATGGAGAGCGGCAATATGCATGTGTACACGCGCCCAAAAACCCCCTCTCTCACACTGCTCGCGAGCAATTCTCCATCTCTCTCTACGTCTCCTCTAAACTCGTACAGTGGGACGCGTCGAACAAGTTTTAAAAACAAAAATATTAAAAAAAAAAAATGTATTATTAAACACTACTTTTTAAAAAAAAAAGTCACTGGCTGTTAGAATTTACAATCTAAAATAAATGTTGTTATCGCTTTTATGTGTTTTTTTTTTTTTCAACTATTTATTGCCGCCTACTGTGCGATTTCCAATAAAATCCAGAAAATACTTCTGACTGCTATATATACATACTTGTACACATGTATTTAAATGTGTTTATACATGTGTGCAAATTACGACTGAAAAACTGATGAAAAAGTGTATCTTCTGGCTAATATTTAAATCCTTAGTTTCTACCCTAAAATATCTGTTTTTTACGAAACAAAGGAAACAATAGGTTAAATATGAAATGTCATACCTTGTTAAGCTCGAAACTTAATTATAAATAGATTTTCGTTCAAATCAGGACATTTTAATTTTTGGCCATAAGTAAATAAGGTCATTATGAACTGTTTTGACTAGCTAACAAACCTAAACTAACGATCCCCATCACTTTTTGGAAAATTAGATTTTTCACTAATTATCGCAATTTTTATAAGGGGTTACATCATGATTTCTTGCAAAAAATTACCAAAAATTAAAATGTCCAGAATTGAACGCAAATCGATTGAGAATTAAGCTACGAGCTCAACAAGGTATAACATTCCTTATTTGGGCTTTTATTCCCTTTGCTTCGGCAAAAAAACGGATGTTTTAGAGTGAAAAATGAGGACTCAAATTTTAGGCAAAAAATACACTTTTTCAGTAGTAATTTTTACAAATCAAGGCCGACAGCTTAGCGACCGACTGTTTTGACTAGCTAACAAACCTAAACTAACGATCCCCATCACTTTTTGAAAAATTAGATTTTTCCCTAATTATCGCATTTTTTATAAGGGGTTACATCATGATTTCTTGCAAAAAATTCCCAAAAATTAAAATGTCCAGAGTTGAACGCAAATCGATTGAGAATTAAGCTACGAGCTCAACAAGGTATAACATTCCTTATTTGGGCTATTATTCCCTTTGCTTCGGCAAAAAAACGGATATTTTGAGGTTAAAAAATAAAGATTCGAGTTTTAGTCAAAAAATACACTTTTTCATCAGTTTTTCAGTCGCAGTTTGAACAAATCACAGCTAAGGCTTGAACGCAGATCGATTAAGATCTAAGCTACGAGTTTAACAAGGAATGACATTCCATATTTGGGCTATTATTTCCTTTGCTTCGGCAAAAAAACGGATGTTTTAGGGTGGAAAATAAGGACTAAAATTTTAGGCAAAAAATACACTTTTTCTGTCGTAATTTTGACAAATCAAGGCCGACAGCTTAGCGCCCGACTGTTTTGACTAGCTAACAAACGCAAACTAACGATCCCCATCACTTTTTGGAAAATTAGATCTTTCACTAATTATCGCATTTTTTATAAGGGGTTACATCATGATTTCTTGCAAAAAATTCCCAAAAATTAAAATGTCCAGAATTGAACGCAAATCGATTGAGAATTAAGCTACGAGATCAACAAGGTATAACATTCCATATTTGGGCCAAAAAACGGATGTTTTAGGGTGGAAAATAAGGACTCAAATTTTAGGCAAAAAATACACTTTTTCAGTAGTAATTTTTACAAATCAAGGCCGACAGCTTAGCGACCGACTGTTTTGACCAGCTAACAAACCTAAACTAACGATCCCCATCCCTTTTTGGAAAATTAGATTTTTCACTAATTATCGCATTTTTTATAAGGGGTTACATCATGATTTCTTGCAAAAAATTACCAAAAATTAAAATGTCCAGAATTGAACGCAAATCGATTGAGAATTAAGCTACGAGCTCAACAAGGTATAACATTCCATATTTGGGCTATTATTCCCTTTGCTTCGGCAAAAAAACGGATGTTTTAGGGTGGAAAATGAGGACTCAAATTTTAGGCAAAAAATACACTTTTTCCGTAGTAATTTTTACAAATCAAGGCCGACAGCTTAGCGACCGACTGTTTTGACTAGCTAACAAACCTAAACTAACGATCCCCATCACTTTTTGAAAAATTAGATTTTTCACTAATTATCGCATTTTTTATAAGGGGTTACATCATGATTTCTTGCAAAAAATTACCAAAAATTAAAATGTCCAGAATTGAACGCAAATCGATTGAGAATTAAGCTACGAGATCAACAAGGTATAACATACCATATTTGGGCAAAAAAACGGATGTTTTAGTGTGGAAAATAAGGACTCAAATTTTAGGCAAAAAATACACTTTTTCCGTAGTAATTTTTACAAATCAAGGCCGACAGCTTAGCGACCGACTGTTTTGACTAGCTAACAAACCTAAACTAACGATCCCCATCACTTTTTGGAAAATTAGATTTTTCACTAATTATCGCATTTTTTATAAGGGGTTACATCATGATTTCTTGCAAAAACTTTCTTATTTAGATAAAGGTTAGTTTTTTTTTGAAATTCGTATGAAATTCGTGCATTACGCCAAAGCAGTTGTTTGTTTGGTTATATGGCTAGCCATTTCTCGTTAAGTTGTTGACCGATTTTAAAAAACGATACCTCGTTTTGTTGGTTGTTTTATGCACTTTAAAACAACAAATTAAAGCGCCCTGAAAGTGGGACTCGAAAAGGACTTTTGGTACCAAGAGGACAACGAACCTAAACATTGCGCCCACAAAACAAAGCGTTTATGTGTAAAACAGCTACATTCTCTATTACAATAGTATATCTCAATCCCGAAAAGCATTTTTGTGATGTCCTGGAGGGCAGGACTCACCTTCACAACCTTGCATCCAAGGATATGCTGAAAAAACTCAATGTCGAGGAATGGAATCAAATAACGGCGAAGGATGCAAGGACATTGGTCCAATCGATGCCGAATATGTAGACTGATGTTATAAAACATAAAGGGTATCAAACTCCGTACTAAACTTGACGTACTTTGCCCAAAATATGGCTTTTTCTAATACTATATGCATTTGTACGCATACTTTTTCTGATGCGAAATGCGGCCAATTTTTACATTTTTGTTTATATTAGGAAAAGAAAAAGTGCTAGAAATTAATAAGTTACGTCAAATTAAAGCTTAATATGTGTACTAAATGTTAAAATTAAAACGACATTTTTACGAATTTTTTTAAGACGTTTTTTTAAGCTCTAAAGTTGCGGAAAATATTTGTACGCATACTTTTTCTGGCAAGTGTACCTAGAAAATATTCACACACATTCGCAAGTAAATAACGGCCTTATTTACTTATTTCCGCATCACGCTCTAAGAGCACACAAATATAAGGGCAAATAAAGCGCAGAAATAAGTAAATAAGGTCATTAAGTACTTTCGAAGAATCGCAGGGAAAACAGAATGAAAGAAAAAGAAACAACCGTGATCAAAAGTATTTCACCATTAAAATTTCCTAGAAAATATTCACACACATTCGCAAGTACATAACGGCCTTATTTACTTATTTCCGCATCACGCTCTGAGAGCACACAAATATAACGGCAAATAAAGCGCGTAAATAAGTATATAAGGTCTTATGTACTTGCAAATGTGTGTGGATATTTTCCAGGAAATTTTAATGATGAAATACTTATAAACATGGTCGTTTTTTTTATTTGAAATATTTTTTTCGTAAAAATTTTCCCGAAAACTTTTTGAATTTTAACAACTTTTCTACATATTTATAAATGAAATACATATTCTAAGAATGTGAAGAAGACTTACCCAATTTTTAAAAGGCTTACATCATTTTTTTGCATATGAACATTAGGGCGGTCCAAATTTGTACGTCGCGGTTGGCCAATCGGAACAATTATAATAAATTATACGCTGTTGCAAAACAAGAAATGTATCAATAAGACATCATTTAATAATTCAAAATAAAAAATATTAAAAAAATATTAATTTGTAATGTTGTTTTTCATTTACGACTTTCTATGTTTTCGCAGAAGAAATCACAGAACTTGCTATAAAAAATTTAATATAAAAACTAGGCGCTGACTTAAAAAAACCGATTGAAGGTAATAATTAAAATTAAAATAAATATTCCAAAAAACAAATTTTGTTTGTAAATGTAATTTAAATAAATATTACAAAATCAAACAAACATTTTTTTTTTTGGGGTAGAGCCTAAAAAATATTGTATTATAAAATAAGATTTAAAAAAAAAAAACAAATAAAAAAGAAGCTGTCGATAACAATAAATCAGACGGAGATATAACTTTTTAGAGGGATTTCTTTTAAATCGCTTGAAATCAGATACACGTAATTACGTAGTTACTAAATATTATATGTTAAAAAAATTATAGGAATATCATGAATGTTACGGAAAAATATTGAACACCTTTCGGTTTGTAAAAGAGCTTTTAATGCAGTCGTAAGGGTCTGTCTTTTATTTTAGTCTAGCTATTTATTGCCGCCCACTGTACGATTTCCAATAAAATCCTGCAAAAACTACTCACTGCTGTATAAAAATACTTGTATGCATATGTATATTTAAATGTGTTTATACATGTGTGCAAATTACGACTGAAAAACTGATAAAAAAGTGTATCTTCTGGTTAATATTTAAATCCTTATTTTCTACCCTTAAATATCTGTTTTTTACGAAACAAAGGAAACAATAGGTTAAATATGAAATGTCATACCTTGTTAAGCTCGAAACTTAATTATAAATAGATTTTCGTTCAAATCTGGACATTTTAATTTTTGGCCATAAGTAAATAAGGTCCTTATGTACTTGCGATGAATCGCAGGGAAAACAGAATGAAAGAAAAAGAAACTACCGCGATCAAAAGTATTTCACCACTAAAATTTTCTACAAAATATTCACACACATTCGCAAGTACATAACGGCCTTATTTACTTATTTCCGCATCACGCTCTGAGAGCACACGAATATAACGGCAAATAAAGGGCGGAAATAAGTAAATAAGGTCATTATGTACATGCGAATGTGTGTGGATATTTTCTAGGAAATTTTAATGATGAAATACTTATGAACATGGTCGTTTTTTTATTTGAAATATTTTTTCGTGAAAAAACTAACCCGAAAACGTTTTGAATTTTAACTGCTTTTCTACATATCTATAAATAAAATACATATTCTAACAATGTGAAGAAGACTTACCCAATTATTAAAAGGCTTACATCATTTTTTGCATATGTAGATACATATACACATACAAATAGCCGGCGCGACGCGATAGACCGGAACGGCGCCAGAACTGCATATTTTCCAGCATATACATATTTGTATGTGCATCTTTAATTTCATGGGAAACGGAAAAAGACCACAAAACGCGCAACGAAAAATGTTAGAAAAGCAAAAAAACACTTGAGTTGACCTCAAATTAACTTATTTCACAATTTATTATACTGTTTTAACCGATTTCCTACCCGCTAAGAAAAATGAACCGGTCGCGCACTTGGCAGAAGAACAACTGAGATCGCTAATTCTGTCAACTTCCGAGGACAAAGCGGAATGACAAAAAAGCGCAGTTAACTTCTTAATGCGCAGCAACTTCTGATCGAGTGCATGGAGAGCGGCAATATGCATGTGTACACGCGCCCAAAAACCCCCTCTCTCACACTGCTCGCGAGCAATTCTCCATCTCTCTCTACGTCTCCTCTAAACTCGTACAGTGGGACGCGTCGAACAAGTTTTAAAAACAAAAATATTAAAAAAAAAAAATGTATTATTAAACACTACTTTTTAAAAAAAAAAGTCACTGGCTGTTAGAATTTACAATCTAAAATAAATGTTGTTATCGCTTTTATGTGTTTTATTTTTTTTTCAACTATTTATTGCCGCCTACTGTGCGATTTCCAATAAAATCCAGAAAATACTTCTGACTGCTATATATACATACTTGTACACATGTATTTAAATGTGTTTATACATGTGTGCAAATTACGACTGAAAAACTGATGAAAAAGTGTATCTTCTGGCTAATATTTAAATCCTTAGTTTCTACCCTAAAATATCTGTTTTTTACGAAACAAAGGAAACAATAGGTTAAATATGAAATGTCATACCTTGTTAAGCTCGAAACTTAATTATAAATAGATTTTCGTTCAAATCAGGACATTTTAATTTTTGGCCATAAGTAAATAAGGTCATTATGAACTGTTTTGACTAGCTAACAAACCTAAACTAACGATCCCCATCACTTTTTGGAAAATTAGATTTTTCACTAATTATCGCAATTTTTATAAGGGGTTACATCATGATTTCTTGCAAAAAATTACCAAAAATTAAAATGTCCAGAATTGAACGCAAATCGATTGAGAATTAAGCTACGAGATCAACAAGGTATAACATTCCATATTTGGGCTATTATTCCCTTTGCATCGGCAAAAAAACGGATGTTTTAGGGTGGAAAATGAGGACTCAAATTTTAGGCAAAAAATACACTTTTTCAGTCGTAATTTTGACAAATCAAGGCCGAAAGCTTAGCGCGCGACTGTTTTGACTAGCTAACAAACCTAAACTAACGATCCCCATCACTTTTTGGAAAATTAGATTTTTCACTAATTATCGCATTTTTTATAAGGGGTTACATCATGATTTCTTGCAAAAAATTACCAAAAATTAAAATGTCCAGAATTGAACGCAAATCGATTGAGAATTAAGCTACTAGCTCAACAAGGAATGACATTCCATATTTGGGCTATTATTTCCTTTGCTTCGGAAAAAAAACGGATGTTTTAGGGTGGAAAATGAGGACTCAAATTTTAGGCAAAAAATACACTTTTTCAGTCGTAATTTTGACAAATCAAGGCCGAAAGCTTAGCGCGCGACTGTTTTGACTAGCTAACAAACCTAAACTAACGATCCCCATCACTTTTTGGAAAATTAGATTTTTCACTAATTATCGCATTTTTTATAAGGGGTTACATCATGATTTCTTGCAAAAAATTACCAAAAATTAAAATGTCCAGAATTGAACGCAAATCGATTGAGAATTAAGCTACGAGCTCAACAAGGTATAACATTCCATATTTGGGCTATTATTTCCTTTGCTTCGGAAAAAAAACGGATGTTTTAGGGTGGAAAATGAGGACTCAAATTTTAGGCAAAAAATACACTTTTTCAGTCGTAATTTTGACAAATCAAGGCCGACAGCTTAGCGCCCGACTGTTTAGACTAGCTAACAAACCTAAACTAACGATCCCCATCACTTTTTGGAAAATTAGATTTTTCACTAATTATCGCATTTTTTATAAGGGGTTACATCAGGATTTCTTGCAAAAAATTACCAAAAATTAAAATGTCCAGAATTGAACGCAAATCGATTGAGAATTAAGCTACTAGCTCAACAAGGAATGACATTCCATATTTGGGCTATTATTTCCTTTGCTTCGGAAAAAAACGGATGTTTTAGGGTGGAAAATGAGGACTCAAATTTTAGGCAAAAAATACACTTTTTCAGTCGTAATTTTGACAAATCAAGGCCGAAAGCTTAGCGCGCGACTGTTTTGACTAGCTAACAAACCTAAACTAACGATCCCCATCACTTTTTGGAAAATTAGATTTTTCACTAATTATCGCATTTTTTATAAGGGGTTACATCATGATTTCTTGCAAAAAATTACCAAAAATTAAAATGTCCAGAATTGAACGCAAATCGATTGAGAATTAAGCTACGAGCTCAACAAGGTATAACATTCCATATTTGGGCTATTATTCCCTTTGCATCGGCAAAAAAACGGATGTTTTAGGGTGGAAAATGAGGACTCAAATTTTAGGCAAAAAATACACTTTTTCAGTCGTAATTTTGACAAATCAAGGCCGACAGCTTAGCGCCCGACTGTTTAGACTAGCTAACAAACCTAAACTAACGATCCCCATCACTTTTTGGAAAATTAGATTTTTCACTAATTATCGCATTTTTTATAAGGGGTTACATCAGGATTTCTTGCAAAAAATTACCAAAAATTAAAATGTCCAGAATTGAACGCAAATCGATTGAGAATTAAGCTACGAGATCAACAAGGTATAACATTCCATATTTGGGCCAAAAAACGGATGTTTTAGGGTGGAAAATAAGGACTCAAATTTTAGGCAAAAAATACACTTTTTCAGTAGTAATTTTTACAAATCAAGGCCGACAGCTTAGCGACCGACTGTTTTGACCAGCTAACAAACCTAAACTAACGATCCCCATCCCTTTTTGGAAAATTAGATTTTTCACTAATTATCGCATTTTTTATAAGGGGTTACATCATGATTTCTTGCAAAAAATTACCAAAAATTAAAATGTCCAGAATTGAACGCAAATCGATTGAGAATTAAGCTACGAGCTCAACAAGGTATAACATTCCATATTTGGGCTATTATTCCCTTTGCTTCGGCAAAAAAACGGATGTTTTAGGGTGGAAAATGAGGACTCAAATTTTAGGCAAAAAATACACTTTTTCCGTAGTAATTTTTACAAATCAAGGCCGACAGCTTAGCGACCGACTGTTTTGACTAGCTAACAAACCTAAACTAACGATCCCCATCACTTTTTGAAAAATTAGATTTTTCACTAATTATCGCATTTTTTATAAGGGGTTACATCATGATTTCTTGCAAAAAATTACCAAAAATTAAAATGTCCAGAATTGAACGCAAATCGATTGAGAATTAAGCTACGAGATCAACAAGGTATAACATACCATATTTGGGCAAAAAAACGGATGTTTTAGTGTGGAAAATAAGGACTCAAATTTTAGGCAAAAAATACACTTTTTCCGTAGTAATTTTTACAAATCAAGGCCGACAGCTTAGCGACCGACTGTTTTGACTAGCTAACAAACCTAAACTAACGATCCCCATCACTTTTTGGAAAATTAGATTTTTCACTAATTATCGCATTTTTTATAAGGGGTTACATCATGATTTCTTGCAAAAACTTTCTTATTTAGATAAAGGTTAGTTTTTTTTGAAATTCGTATGAAATTCGTGCATTACGCCAAAGCAGTTGTTTGTTTGGTTATATGGCTAGCCATTTCTCGTTAAGTTGTTGACCGATTTTAAAAAACGATACCTCGTTTTGTTGGTTGTTTTATGCACTTTAAAACAACAAATTAAAGCGCCCTGAAAGTGGGACTCGAAAAGGACTTTTGGTACCAAGAGGACAACGAACCTAAACATTGCGCCCACAAAACAAAGCGTTTATGTGTAAAACAGCTACATTCTCTATTACAATAGTATATCTCAATCCCGAAAAGCATTTTTGTGATGTCCTGGAGGGCAGGACTCACCTTCACAACCTTGCATCCAAGGATATGCTGAAAAAACTCAATGTCGAGGAATGGAATCAAATAACGGCGAAGGATGCAAGGACATTGGTCCAATCGATGCCGAATATGTAGACTGATGTTATAAAACATAAAGGGTATCAAACTCCGTACTAAACTTGACGTACTTTGCCCAAAATATGGCTTTTTCTAATACTATATGCATTTGTACGCATACTTTTTCTGATGCGAAATGCGGCCAATTTTTACATTTTTGTTTATATTAGGAAAAGAAAAAGTGCTAGAAATTAATAAGTTACGTCAAATTAAAGCTTAATATGTGTACTAAATGTTAAAATTAAAACGACATTTTTACGAATTTTTTTAAGACGTTTTTTTAAGCTCTAAAGTTGCGGAAAATATTTGTACGCATACTTTTTCTGGCAAGTGTACCTAGAAAATATTCACACACATTCGCAAGTAAATAACGGCCTTATTTACTTATTTCCGCATCACGCTCTAAGAGCACACAAATATAAGGGCAAATAAAGCGCAGAAATAAGTAAATAAGGTCATTAAGTACTTTCGAAGAATCGCAGGGAAAACAGAATGAAAGAAAAAGAAACAACCGTGATCAAAAGTATTTCACCATTAAAATTTCCTAGAAAATATTCACACACATTCGCAAGTACATAACGGCCTTATTTACTTATTTCCGCATCACGCTCTGAGAGCACACAAATATAACGGCAAATAAAGCGCGTAAATAAGTATATAAGGTCTTATGTACTTGCAAATGTGTGTGGATATTTTCCAGGAAATTTTAATGATGAAATACTTATAAACATGGTCGTTTTTTTTATTTGAAATATTTTTTTCGTAAAAATTTTCCCGAAAACTTTTTGAATTTTAACAACTTTTCTACATATTTATAAATGAAATACATATTCTAAGAATGTGAAGAAGACTTACCCAATTTTTAAAAGGCTTACATCATTTTTTTGCATATGAACATTAGGGCGGTCCAAATTTGTACGTCGCGGTTGGCCAATCGGAACAATTATAATAAATTATACGCTGTTGCAAAACAAGAAATGTATCAATAAGACATCATTTAATAATTCAAAATAAAAAATATTAAAAAAATATTAATTTGTAATGTTGTTTTTCATTTACGACTTTCTATGTTTTCGCAGAAGAAATCACAGAACTTGCTATAAAAAATTTAATATAAAAACTAGGCGCTGACTTAAAAAAACCGATTGAAGGTAATAATTAAAATTAAAATAAATATTCCAAAAAACAAATTTTGTTTGTAAATGTAATTTAAATAAATATTACAAAATCAAACAAACATTTTTTTTTTTGGGGTAGAGCCTAAAAAATATTGTATTATAAAATAAGATTAAAAAAAAAAACAAATAAAAAAGAAGCTGTCGATAACAATAAATCAGACGGAGATATAACTTTTTAGAGGGATTTCTTTTAAATCGCTTGAAATCAGATACACGTAATTACGTAGTTACTAAATATTATATGTTAAAAAAATTATAGGAATATCATGAATGTTACGGAAAAATATTGAACACCTTTCGGTTTGTAAAAGAGCTTTTAATGCAGTCGTAAGGGTCTGTCTTTTATTTTAGTCTAGCTATTTATTGCCGCCCACTGTACGATTTCCAATAAAATCCTGCAAAAACTACTCACTGCTGTATAAAAATACTTGTATGCATATGTATATTTAAATGTGTTTATACATGTGTGCAAATTACGACTGAAAAACTGATAAAAAAGTGTATCTTCTGGTTAATATTTAAATCCTTATTTTCTACCCTTAAATATCTGTTTTTTACGAAACAAAGGAAACAATAGGTTAAATATGAAATGTCATACCTTGTTAAGCTCGAAACTTAATTATAAATAGATTTTCGTTCAAATCTGGACATTTTAATTTTTGGCCATAAGTAAATAAGGTCCTTATGTACTTGCGATGAATCGCAGGGAAAACAGAATGAAAGAAAAAGAAACTACCGCGATCAAAAGTATTTCACCACTAAAATTTTCTACAAAATATTCACACACATTCGCAAGTACATAACGGCCTTATTTACTTATTTCCGCATCACGCTCTGAGAGCACACGAATATAACGGCAAATAAAGGGCGGAAATAAGTAAATAAGGTCATTATGTACATGCGAATGTGTGTGGATATTTTCTAGGAAATTTTAATGATGAAATACTTATGAACATGGTCGTTTTTTTATTTGAAATATTTTTTCGTGAAAAAACTAACCCGAAAACGTTTTGAATTTTAACTGCTTTTCTACATATCTATAAATAAAATACATATTCTAACAATGTGAAGAAGACTTACCCAATTATTAAAAGGCTTACATCATTTTTTGCATATGTAGATACATATACACATACAAATAGCCGGCGCGACGCGATAGACCGGAACGGCGCCAGAACTGCATATTTTCCAGCATATACATATTTGTATGTGCATCTTTAATTTCATGGGAAACGGAAAAAGACCACAAAACGCGCAACGAAAAATGTTAGAAAAGCAAAAAAACACTTGAGTTGACCTCAAATTAACTTATTTCACAATTTATTATACTGTTTTAACCGATTTCCTACCCGCTAAGAAAAATGAACCGGTCGCGCACTTGGCAGAAGAACAACTGAGATCGCTAATTCTGTCAACTTCCGAGGACAAAGCGGAATGACAAAAAAGCGCAGTTAACTTCTTAATGCGCAGCAACTTCTGATCGAGTGCATGGAGAGCGGCAATATGCATGTGTACACGCGCCCAAAAACCCCCTCTCTCACACTGCTCGCGAGCAATTCTCCATCTCTCTCTACGTCTCCTCTAAACTCGTACAGTGGGACGCGTCGAACAAGTTTTAAAAACAAAAATATTAAAAAAAAAAAAATGTATTATTAAACACTACTTTTTAAAAAAAAAGTCACTGGCTGTTAGAATTTACAATCTAAAATAAATGTTGTTATCGCTTTTATGTGTTTTATTTTTTTTCAACTATTTATTGCCGCCTACTGTGCGATTTCCAATAAAATCCAGAAAATACTTCTGACTGCTATATATACATACTTGTACACATGTATTTAAATGTGTTTATACATGTGTGCAAATTACGACTGAAAAACTGATGAAAAAGTGTATCTTCTGGCTAATATTTAAATCCTTAGTTTCTACCCTAAAATATCTGTTTTTTACGAAACAAAGGAAACAATAGGTTAAATATGAAATGTCATACCTTGTTAAGCTCGAAACTTAATTATAAATAGATTTTCGTTCAAATCAGGACATTTTAATTTTTGGCCATAAGTAAATAAGGTCATTATGAACTGTTTTGACTAGCTAACAAACCTAAACTAACGATCCCCATCACTTTTTGGAAAATTAGATTTTTCACTAATTATCGCAATTTTTATAAGGGGTTACATCATGATTTCTTGCAAAAAATTACCAAAAATTAAAATGTCCAGAATTGAACGCAAATCGATTGAGAATTAAGCTACGAGATCAACAAGGTATAACATTCCATATTTGGGCTATTATTCCCTTTGCATCGGCAAAAAAACGGATGTTTTAGGGTGGAAAATGAGGACTCAAATTTTAGGCAAAAAATACACTTTTTCAGTCGTAATTTTGACAAATCAAGGCCGAAAGCTTAGCGCGCGACTGTTTTGACTAGCTAACAAACCTAAACTAACGATCCCCATCACTTTTTGGAAAATTAGATTTTTCACTAATTATCGCATTTTTTATAAGGGGTTACATCATGATTTCTTGCAAAAAATTACCAAAAATTAAAATGTCCAGAATTGAACGCAAATCGATTGAGAATTAAGCTACTAGCTCAACAAGGAATGACATTCCATATTTGGGCTATTATTTCCTTTGCTTCGGAAAAAAACGGATGTTTTAGGGTGGAAAATGAGGACTCAAATTTTAGGCAAAAAATACACTTTTTCAGTCGTAATTTTGACAAATCAAGGCCGAAAGCTTAGCGCGCGACTGTTTTGACTAGCTAACAAACCTAAACTAACGATCCCCATCACTTTTTGGAAAATTAGATTTTTCACTAATTATCGCATTTTTTATAAGGGGTTACATCATGATTTCTTGCAAAAAATTACCAAAAATTAAAATGTCCAGAATTGAACGCAAATCGATTGAGAATTAAGCTACGAGCTCAACAAGGTATAACATTCCATATTTGGGCTATTATTTCCTTTGCTTCGGAAAAAAAACGGATGTTTTAGGGTGGAAAATGAGGACTCAAATTTTAGGCAAAAAATACACTTTTTCAGTCGTAATTTTGACAAATCAAGGCCGACAGCTTAGCGCCCGACTGTTTAGACTAGCTAACAAACCTAAACTAACGATCCCCATCACTTTTTGGAAAATTAGATTTTTCACTAATTATCGCATTTTTTATAAGGGGTTACATCAGGATTTCTTGCAAAAAATTACCAAAAATTAAAATGTCCAGAATTGAACGCAAATCGATTGAGAATTAAGCTACTAGCTCAACAAGGAATGACATTCCATATTTGGGCTATTATTTCCTTTGCTTCGGAAAAAAAACGGATGTTTTAGGGTGGAAAATGAGGACTCAAATTTTAGGCAAAAAATACACTTTTTCAGTCGTAATTTTGACAAATCAAGGCCGAAAGCTTAGCGCGCGACTGTTTTGACTAGCTAACAAACCTAAACTAACGATCCCCATCACTTTTTGGAAAATTAGATTTTTCACTAATTATCGCATTTTTTATAAGGGGTTACATCATGATTTCTTGCAAAAAATTACCAAAAATTAAAATGTCCAGAATTGAACGCAAATCGATTGAGAATTAAGCTACGAGCTCAACAAGGTATAACATTCCATATTTGGGCTATTATTCCCTTTGCATCGGCAAAAAAACGGATGTTTTAGGGTGGAAAATGAGGACTCAAATTTTAGGCAAAAAATACACTTTTTCAGTCGTAATTTTGACAAATCAAGGCCGACAGCTTAGCGCCCGACTGTTTTGACTAGCTAACAAACCTAAACTAACGATCCCCATCACTTTTTGGAAAATTAGATTTTTCACTAATTATCGCATTTTTTATAAGGGGTTACATCAGGATTTCTTGCAAAAAATTACCAAAAATTAAAATGTCCAGAATTGAACGCAAATCGATTGAGAATTAAGCTACTAGCTCAACAAGGAATGACATTCCATATTTGGGCTATTATTTCCTTTGCTTCGGAAAAAAACGGATGTTTTAGGGTGGAAAATGAGGACTCAAATTTTAGGCAAAAAATACACTTTTTCAGTCGTAATTTTGACAAATCAAGGCCGAAAGCTTAGCGCGCGACTGTTTTGACTAGCTAACAAACCTAAACTAACGATCCCCATCACTTTTTGGAAAATTAGATTTTTCACTAATTATCGCATTTTTTATAAGGGGTTACATCATGATTTCTTGCAAAAAATTACCAAAAATTAAAATGTCCAGAATTGAACGCAAATCGATTGAGAATTAAGCTACGAGCTCAACAAGGAATAACATTCCATATTTGGGCTATTATTCCCTTTGCTTCGGCAAAAAAACGGATGTTTTAGGGTGGAAAATGAGGACTCAAATTTTAGGCAAAAAATACACTTTTTCAGTCGTAATTTTGACAAATCAAGGCCGACAGCTTAGCGCCCGACTGTTTTGACTAGCTAACAAACCTAAACTAACGATCCCCATCACTTTTTGGAAAATTAGATTTTTCACTAATTATCGCATTTTTTATAAGGGGTTACATCATGATTTCTTGCAAAAAATTACCAAAAATTAAAATGTCCAGAATTGAACGCAAATCGATTGAGAATTAAGCTACGAGCTCAACAAGGAATGACATTCCATATTTGGGCTATTATTCCCTTTGCTTCGGAAAAAAACGGATGTTTTAGGGTGGAAAATGAGGACTCAAATTTTAGGCAAAAAATACACTTTTTCAGTCGTAATTTTGACAAATCAAGGCCGAAAGCTTAGCGCCCGACTGTTTTGACTAGCTAACAAACCTAAACTAACGATCCCCATCACTTTTTGGAAAATTAGATTTTTCACTAATTATCGCATTTTTTATAAGGGGTTACATCATGATTTCTTGCAAAAAATTACCAAAAATTAAAATGTCCAGAATTGAACGCAAATCGATTGAGAATTAAGCTACGAGCTCAACAAGGTATAACATTCCTTATTTGGGCTATTATTCCCTTTGCTTCGGCAAAAAAACGGATGTTTTAGGGTGGAAAATGAGGACTCAAATTTTAGGCAAAAAATACACTTTTTCAGTAGTAATTTTTACAAATCAAGGCCGACAGCTTAGCGACCGACTGTTTTGACTAGCTAACAAACCTAAACTAACGATCCCCATCACTTTTTGAAAAATTAGATTTTTCACTAATTATCGCATTTTTTATAAGGGGTTACATCATGATTTCTTGCAAAAAATTCCCAAAAATTAAAATGTCCAGAATTGAACGCAAATCGATTGAGAATTAAGCTACGAGCTCAACAAGGTATAACATTCCTTATTTGGGCTATTATTCCCTTTGCTTCGGCAAAAAAACGGATATTTTGAGGTTTAAAAAATAAAGATTCGAGTTTTAGTCAAAAAATACACTTTTTCATCAGTTTTTCAGTCGCAGTTTGAACAAATCACAGCTAAGGCTTGAACGCAGATCGATTAAGATCTAAGCTACGAGTTTAACAAGGAATGACATTCCATATTTGGGCTATTATTTCCTTTGCTTCGGCAAAAAAACGGATGTTTTAGGGTGGAAAATAAGGACTAAAATTTTAGGCAAAAAATACACTTTTTCTGTCGTAATTTTGACAAATCAAGGCCGACAGCTTAGCGCCCGACTGTTTTGACTAGCTAACAAACCTAAACTAACGATCCCCATCACTTTTTGGAAAATTAGATCTTTCACTAATTATCGCATTTTTTATAAGGGGTTACATCATGATTTCTTGCAAAAAATTCCCAAAAATTAAAATGTCCAGAATTGAACGCAAATCGATTGAGAATTAAGCTACGAGATCAACAAGGTATAACATTCCATATTTGGGCCAAAAAACGGATGTTTTAGGGTGGAAAATAAGGACTCAAATTTTAGGCAAAAAATACACTTTTTCAGTAGTAATTTTTACAAATCAAGGCCGACAGCTTAGCGACCGACTGTTTTGACCAGCTAACAAACCTAAACTAACGATCCCCATCCCTTTTTGGAAAATTAGATTTTTCACTAATTATCGCATTTTTTATAAGGGGTTACATCATGATTTCTTGCAAAAAATTACCAAAAATTAAAATGTCCAGAATTGAACGCAAATCGATTGAGAATTAAGCTACGAGCTCAACAAGGTATAACATTCCATATTTGGGCTATTATTCCCTTTGCTTCGGCAAAAAAACGGATGTTTTAGGGTGGAAAATGAGGACTCAAATTTTAGGCAAAAAATACACTTTTTCCGTAGTAATTTTTACAAATCAAGGCCGACAGCTTAGCGACCGACTGTTTTGACTAGCTAACAAACCTAAACTAACGATCCCCATCACTTTTTGAAAAATTAGATTTTTCACTAATTATCGCATTTTTTATAAGGGGTTACATCATGATTTCTTGCAAAAAATTACCAAAAATTAAAATGTCCAGAATTGAACGCAAATCGATTGAGAATTAAGCTACGAGATCAACAAGGTATAACATACCATATTTGGGCAAAAAAACGGATGTTTTAGTGTGGAAAATAAGGACTCAAATTTTAGGCAAAAAATACACTTTTTCCGTAGTAATTTTTACAAATCAAGGCCGACAGCTTAGCGACCGACTGTTTTGACTAGCTAACAAACCTAAACTAACGATCCCCATCACTTTTTGGAAAATTAGATTTTTCACTAATTATCGCATTTTTTATAAGGGGTTACATCATGATTTCTTGCAAAAACTTTCTTATTTAGATAAAGGTTAGTTTTTTTTGAAATTCGTATGAAATTCGTGCATTACGCCAAAGCAGTTGTTTGTTTGGTTATATGGCTAGCCATTTCTCGTTAAGTTGTTGACCGATTTTAAAAAACGATACCTCGTTTTGTTGGTTGTTTTATGCACTTTAAAACAACAAATTAAAGCGCCCTGAAAGTGGGACTCGAAAAGGACTTTTGGTACCAAGAGGACAACGAACCTAAACATTGCGCCCACAAAACAAAGCGTTTATGTGTAAAACAGCTACATTCTCTATTACAATAGTATATCTCAATCCCGAAAAGCATTTTTGTGATGTCCTGGAGGGCAGGACTCACCTTCACAACCTTGCATCCAAGGATATGCTGAAAAAACTCAATGTCGAGGAATGGAATCAAATAACGGCGAAGGATGCAAGGACATTGGTCCAATCGATGCCGAATATGTAGACTGATGTTATAAAACATAAAGGGTATCAAACTCCGTACTAAACTTGACGTACTTTGCCCAAAATATGGCTTTTTCTAATACTATATGCATTTGTACGCATACTTTTTCTGATGCGAAATGCGGCCAATTTTTACATTTTTGTTTATATTAGGAAAAGAAAAAGTGCTAGAAATTAATAAGTTACGTCAAATTAAAGCTTAATATGTGTACTAAATGTTAAAATTAAAACGACATTTTTACGAATTTTTTTAAGACGTTTTTTTAAGCTCTAAAGTTGCGGAAAATATTTGTACGCATACTTTTTCTGGCAAGTGTACCTAGAAAATATTCACACACATTCGCAAGTAAATAACGGCCTTATTTACTTATTTCCGCATCACGCTCTAAGAGCACACAAATATAAGGGCAAATAAAGCGCAGAAATAAGTAAATAAGGTCATTAAGTACTTTCGAAGAATCGCAGGGAAAACAGAATGAAAGAAAAAGAAACAACCGTGATCAAAAGTATTTCACCATTAAAATTTCCTAGAAAATATTCACACACATTCGCAAGTACATAACGGCCTTATTTACTTATTTCCGCATCACGCTCTGAGAGCACACAAATATAACGGCAAATAAAGCGCGTAAATAAGTATATAAGGTCTTATGTACTTGCAAATGTGTGTGGATATTTTCCAGGAAATTTTAATGATGAAATACTTATAAACATGGTCGTTTTTTTTATTTGAAATATTTTTTTCGTAAAAATTTTCCCGAAAACTTTTTGAATTTTAACAACTTTTCTACATATTTATAAATGAAATACATATTCTAAGAATGTGAAGAAGACTTACCCAATTTTTAAAAGGCTTACATCATTTTTTTGCATATGAACATTAGGGCGGTCCAAATTTGTACGTCGCGGTTGGCCAATCGGAACAATTATAATAAATTATACGCTGTTGCAAAACAAGAAATGTATCAATAAGACATCATTTAATAATTCAAAATAAAAAATATTAAAAAAATATTAATTTGTAATGTTGTTTTTCATTTACGACTTTCTATGTTTTCGCAGAAGAAATCACAGAACTTGCTATAAAAAATTTAATATAAAAACTAGGCGCTGACTTAAAAAAACCGATTGAAGGTAATAATTAAAATTAAAATAAATATTCCAAAAAACAAATTTTGTTTGTAAATGTAATTTAAATAAATATTACAAAATCAAACAAACATTTTTTTTTTGGGGTAGAGCCTAAAAAATATTGTATTATAAAATAAGATTTAAAAAAAAAAACAAAAAAAAAAGAAGCTGTCGATAACAATAAATCAGACGGAGATATAACTTTTTAGAGGGATTTCTTTTAAATCGCTTGAAATCAGATACACGTAATTACGTAGTTACTAAATATTATATGTTAAAAAAATTATAGGAATATCATGAATGTTACGGAAAAATATTGAACACCTTTCGGTTTGTAAAAGAGCTTTTAATGCAGTCGTAAGGGTCTGTCTTTTATTTTAGTCTAGCTATTTATTGCCGCCCACTGTACGATTTCCAATAAAATCCTGCAAAAACTACTCACTGCTGTATAAAAATACTTGTATGCATATGTATATTTAAATGTGTTTATACATGTGTGCAAATTACGACTGAAAAACTGATAAAAAAGTGTATCTTCTGGCTAATATTTAAATCCTTATTTTCTACCCTTAAATATCTGTTTTTTACGAAACAAAGGAAACAATAGGTTAAATATGAAATGTCATACCTTGTTAAGCTCGAAACTTAATTATAAATAGATTTTCGTTCAAATCTGGACATTTTAATTTTTGGCCATAAGTAAATAAGGTCCTTATGTACTTGCGATGAATCGCAGGGAAAACAGAATGAAAGAAAAAGAAACTACCGCGATCAAAAGTATTTCACCACTAAAATTTTCTACAAAATATTCACACACATTCGCAAGTACATAACGGCCTTATTTACTTATTTCCGCATCACGCTCTGAGAGCACACGAATATAACGGCAAATAAAGGGCGGAAATAAGTAAATAAGGTCATTATGTACATGCGAATGTGTGTGGATATTTTCTAGGAAATTTTAATGATGAAATACTTATGAACATGGTCGTTTTTTTATTTGAAATATTTTTTCGTGAAAAAACTAACCCGAAAACGTTTTGAATTTTAACTGCTTTTCTACATATCTATAAATAAAATACATATTCTAACAATGTGAAGAAGACTTACCCAATTATTAAAAGGCTTACATCATTTTTTGCATATGTAGATACATATACACATACAAATAGCCGGCGCGACGCGATAGACCGGAACGGCGCCAGAACTGCATATTTTCCAGCATATACATATTTGTATGTGCATCTTTAATTTCATGGGAAACGGAAAAAGACCACAAAACGCGCAACGAAAAATGTTAGAAAAGCAAAAAAACACTTGAGTTGACCTCAAATTAACTTATTTCACAATTTATTATACTGTTTTAACCGATTTCCTACCCGCTAAGAAAAATGAACCGGTCGCGCACTTGGCAGAAGAACAACTGAGATCGCTAATTCTGTCAACTTCCGAGGACAAAGCGGAATGACAAAAAAGCGCAGTTAACTTCTTAATGCGCAGCAACTTCTGATCGAGTGCATGGAGAGCGGCAATATGCATGTGTACACGCGCCCAAAAACCCCCTCTCTCACACTGCTCGCGAGCAATTCTCCATCTCTCTCTACGTCTCCTCTAAACTCGTACAGTGGGACGCGTCGAACAAGTTTTAAAAACAAAAATATTAAAAAAAAAAAATGTATTATTAAACACTACTTTTTAAAAAAAAAAGTCACTGGCTGTTAGAATTTACAATCTAAAATAAATGTTGTTATCGCTTTTATGTGTTTTATTTTTTTTCAACTATTTATTGCCGCCTACTGTGCGATTTCCAATAAAATCCAGAAAATACTTCTGACTGCTATATATACATACTTGTACACATGTATTTAAATGTGTTTATACATGTGTGCAAATTACGACTGAAAAACTGATGAAAAAGTGTATCTTCTGGCTAATATTTAAATCCTTAGTTTCTACCCTAAAATATCTGTTTTTTACGAAACAAAGGAAACAATAGGTTAAATATGAAATGTCATACCTTGTTAAGCTCGAAACTTAATTATAAATAGATTTTCGTTCAAATCAGGACATTTTAATTTTTGGCCATAAGTAAATAAGGTCATTATGAACTGTTTTGACTAGCTAACAAACCTAAACTAACGATCCCCATCACTTTTTGGAAAATTAGATTTTTCACTAATTATCGCAATTTTTATAAGGGGTTACATCATGATTTCTTGCAAAAAATTACCAAAAATTAAAATGTCCAGAATTGAACGCAAATCGATTGAGAATTAAGCTACGAGATCAACAAGGTATAACATTCCATATTTGGGCTATTATTCCCTTTGCATCGGCAAAAAAACGGATGTTTTAGGGTGGAAAATGAGGACTCAAATTTTAGGCAAAAAATACACTTTTTCAGTCGTAATTTTGACAAATCAAGGCCGAAAGCTTAGCGCGCGACTGTTTTGACTAGCTAACAAACCTAAACTAACGATCCCCATCACTTTTTGGAAAATTAGATTTTTCACTAATTATCGCATTTTTTATAAGGGGTTACATCATGATTTCTTGCAAAAAATTACCAAAAATTAAAATGTCCAGAATTGAACGCAAATCGATTGAGAATTAAGCTACTAGCTCAACAAGGAATGACATTCCATATTTGGGCTATTATTTCCTTTGCTTCGGAAAAAAAACGGATGTTTTAGGGTGGAAAATGAGGACTCAAATTTTAGGCAAAAAATACACTTTTTCAGTCGTAATTTTGACAAATCAAGGCCGAAAGCTTAGCGCGCGACTGTTTTGACTAGCTAACAAACCTAAACTAACGATCCCCATCACTTTTTGGAAAATTAGATTTTTCACTAATTATCGCATTTTTTATAAGGGGTTACATCATGATTTCTTGCAAAAAATTACCAAAAATTAAAATGTCCAGAATTGAACGCAAATCGATTGAGAATTAAGCTACGAGCTCAACAAGGTATAACATTCCATATTTGGGCTATTATTTCCTTTGCTTCGGAAAAAAACGGATGTTTTAGGGTGGAAAATGAGGACTCAAATTTTAGGCAAAAAATACACTTTTTCAGTCGTAATTTTGACAAATCAAGGCCGACAGCTTAGCGCCCGACTGTTTTAGACTAGCTAACAAACCTAAACTAACGATCCCCATCACTTTTTGGAAAATTAGATTTTTCACTAATTATCGCATTTTTTATAAGGGGTTACATCAGGATTTCTTGCAAAAAATTACCAAAAATTAAAATGTCCAGAATTGAACGCAAATCGATTGAGAATTAAGCTACTAGCTCAACAAGGAATGACATTCCATATTTGGGCTATTATTTCCTTTGCTTCGGAAAAAAAACGGATGTTTTAGGGTGGAAAATGAGGACTCAAATTTTAGGCAAAAAATACACTTTTTCAGTCGTAATTTTGACAAATCAAGGCCGAAAGCTTAGCGCGCGACTGTTTTGACTAGCTAACAAACCTAAACTAACGATCCCCATCACTTTTTGGAAAATTAGATTTTTCACTAATTATCGCATTTTTTATAAGGGGTTACATCATGATTTCTTGCAAAAAATTACCAAAAATTAAAATGTCCAGAATTGAACGCAAATCGATTGAGAATTAAGCTACGAGCTCAACAAGGTATAACATTCCATATTTGGGCTATTATTCCCTTTGCTTCGGCAAAAAAACGGATGTTTTAGGGTGGAAAATGAGGACTCAAATTTTAGGCAAAAAATACACTTTTTCAGTCGTAATTTTGACAAATCAAGGCCGACAGCTTAGCGCCCGACTGTTTTGACTAGCTAACAAACCTAAACTAACGATCCCCATCACTTTTTGGAAAATTAGATTTTTCACTAATTATCGCATTTTTTATAAGGGGTTACATCAGGATTTCTTGCAAAAAATTACCAAAAATTAAAATGTCCAGAATTGAACGCAAATCGATTGAGAATTAAGCTACTAGCTCAACAAGGAATGACATTCCATATTTGGGCTATTATTTCCTTTGCTTCGGAAAAAAAACGGATGTTTTAGGGTGGAAAATGAGGACTCAAATTTTAGGCAAAAAATACACTTTTTCAGTCGTAATTTTGACAAATCAAGGCCGAAAGCTTAGCGCGCGACTGTTTTGACTAGCTAACAAACCTAAACTAACGATCCCCATCACTTTTTGGAAAATTAGATTTTTCACTAATTATCGCATTTTTTATAAGGGGTTACATCATGATTTCTTGCAAAAAATTACCAAAAATTAAAATGTCCAGAATTGAACGCAAATCGATTGAGAATTAAGCTACGAGCTCAACAAGGTATAACATTCCATATTTGGGCTATTATTCCCTTTGCTTCGGCAAAAAAACGGATGTTTTAGGGTGGAAAATGAGGACTCAAATTTTAGGCAAAAAATACACTTTTTCAGTCGTAATTTTGACAAATCAAGGCCGACAGCTTAGCGCCCGACTGTTTTGACTAGCTAACAAACCTAAACTAACGATCCCCATCACTTTTTGGAAAATTAGATTTTTCACTAATTATCGCATTTTTTATAAGGGGTTACATCATGATTTCTTGCAAAAAATTACCAAAAATTAAAATGTCCAGAATTGAACGCAAATCGATTGAGAATTAAGCTACGAGCTCAACAAGGAATGACATTCCATATTTGGGCTATTATTCCCTTTGCTTCGGCAAAAAAACGGATGTTCTAGGGTGGAAAATGAGGACTCAAATTTTAGGCAAAAAATACACTTTTTCAGTCGTAATTTTGACAAATCAAGGCCGAAA